GCAGCAGGGAGGGGCCCGGCAGGATGAGCCGTGGGGAGCCAGGCTGCGGATCACCCCCCAAGCCCCACACTCAGCACCCTTTCGCTGCGCGTCCTCCCCGGCCACCCATCCCACCAGCCTTTCCAGCAGGTATATCAGCACGTATCTCTCTCAAAGATCATTCGGGAACGGGCAGCCACCACACCAAGCGTCACGCGGTATTTAACCGAGAGTCTTGGCACGACTCCTGCACTGAGACATCTCTGCGCTACCAGGCCCTCCTACCAGCCTGGCTCACGTCTGAACACCAGCGATCCCCTGCCGAGGGCCAACTGCTGCCGGCAGCAATCGACTGTGGCTCCAGGCACCGGCAGCAGCCTCGTGACGGTGACCGGCACTGCCGGGCTGCCCCGACGCCTCACCTCTTCGAGAACGGGACCTCCGATGTGACCGTGATCTTGCTCTTGCTCCTCTCGATGGTCACCACGCCCCCGCCCAGGTTTCCCGCTTTGCCGTTCACCTTGATCCTTTCCTGCAGGAACTGCTCCTGCAAGAGAGGAACACCGCCGCTTAGCCGGGGCCGCCAACTCCTGCTGGACAAGGCCTCCCCAGCTGGCCTGCACCCAGCGCTTTGGCTTTTTGTTAGAGCTGGGGAAGAGAAGCGCTGTTGTGCCCAAGGGCAGCAGAGGAAAGCCACCTTCCTGCAGGCCGGGAGGCTCCGAGCCTGCCAGCACCCTCCACAACTAACCCAACCGGCCCATTCAGACCCGCACGTAAGCGAGGTTCTCGGGTCTGAATGTGCCGGATTAGCGAGGCAGGGACACGTTTCCCGCCTTCCGAGGGGACAGCCAGCGAAGTGACGGCTGGGTCAGGGCCCTCTGAGGACGCCTCAGCCACAGCCCTGCGCTTCCAAAGGATACTCAAGCACATTTTGAATGAGAACAGGTTCACGAGACAGCACTGAAACGCAGCGTGCTCTGCCCTCGCCTTTCCTCACAGCACAACAGAAAACTCACCCCAGGAGGGATGAACGGTAATACTGCTTGACAGGCAGGGAAGATGCTCGTGCTTTAACTACAAAGCGTTTAAAAAGAACAAACATCTCATAGCCTCCAGCACCACCCAGGCGTCCTTTGCCTGCAGGGCGATTCCCAGCGCTGCAGACTTTTACGCTGGGCCGTGGTGAGGGGCAGAGACAGAGAGCCGGGGCGGCGGGGGCTGCCGGG